GGTAAGCCAACTGCTAGTCACCGTGTCAATCCATCGTGTTCAGAGTCTTCCTCTCTCTCTGACCCTCCACCTTTGCCATCAAAATGTCTTTTTCCAAGGATCGTCAACCCTTGGTAACAAGCACATACTATTTCTCACCATAATGCTTCCAAGGAGCACCCTGGTTACAGTTCTTCAAAGACAGACTTGCTATTTTGGTAATTCATGGGATGTTCTGTCTTCTTCTCCAAAACCATAATTCAAAATAACAATTCTATTATTCTTATTCACTGTCCAACTTTCAGATGCATAGGACATAACTCAAAGTACTGTGGCTTGGATCAAGGTCATCTTAAGTCTTTAAACAGACTTCACCGCTCTTTAGGATTTTGGAGACGTTCTTCAAGTGCAACGTCTTTTGATTTTTTTACTTCTACTACTACCGTGCAGATGGCAAAACTTCACCTCACACATACATTGGGTGTCATTAGGGGACGGACATCATAGTTGGAAAGGTGGAGGGCTGGTAAAAGGGGAAGACCCTCAACTAGATGGACTGGCAGTGACTCCAGCTACGACGGGCTCAAGCGTGTCAGAGATGATGAGGATGGCACAGGATAGGACAGGGTTCAGATCTGTTGTTCACAGGGTTGCTTTGAATCCTACTTGACTGGACGGCAGCTAATAACAAGTAACGGGTGTTGATTATGGATCCAAATTAAATAGTTAAAAACTTCAATGTTTTCTTCCATCTATTATGATAATGCCTGTTAGTCCAGGGACAATTTTTGTTTTCTTGATGTTAAGATGTAATCTTGGGTCTGGAGATGTAGCTCACCAGTGGAGCACGGTGGCTCACGTGCTGTGGCTTCCTGGTTCGTGGTTCATTACCGCTACCAAGATGTAATCTACTCTTCAAAAAAGAGCTAGAAATTTCAGAGCCCAGTAACTATTTATTCAAAGACAATGTATAGAAGATAACTTGAACACAATGATTGAGAGGTGGTTGGAAGGACTGCTAAAATACTTTCCGTGCACAATGTTGTCTTTTCTGTAGACCCTTGAGAAATAAAAACTCATATTGACTTTTTTCTTAACAGAGATGTTTTAGAGGTATTCACCATTCTACAAATACTCAAATAAAAAGCATAGTCTGTTAACTATTTTCCCAGAAAGTTCTGCTGTAGGATTTTTGTATTTATTAAAAATAAAAGAGGCATTCTGATTAAAAAAAAAAGATGTAATCTAGACAGAGGGATTTTGTCTTTGGTCTGCAGTGAGTGTTTCAAGTTGTCTTCACTTTCTGCAAGCAAGGTTGTGTCATCTGGGTAATGCAGGTTGTTGGTGAGTTTTCCTACAATTCTGTTGCCACATTCTTCTTCTGAGTCCAGTTTCCCTAATGCCTTGCTCTGCATACAGAGTAAACGCATATAAAGGATACAAGTCTGACGCATAACTTTCTTGATTTAAAAAAAATACATACAAAAAATATATACATATTAATAAGCATGCCTTTGTCTTGCTACACATCTAACAACAAAAAAATTCTACAACTTCAGAGGGTTGAAGATGAGTTCAAAGCTGGCTAGCATTAGAAAACCCAGACAATGCAGGTGTGCTGTCTAGAGGTGAAGCACAGATTTCCAATGATGTGCACATCTTCCTTACAGAGACGGGACACAATTCCACCATTCACTCAAAAGTCCCTGGAACAGCTACTTTGTGCTGAGTTGACAAAGCAAGGCAGCGAGTAGCCACAAGGGCAGTGGGGTGGGGGTGTGTGTGTGATATGAACGGACTGATGGGATTGGGGAACAAGTGCAGAGGCCAGGTCAGGGAGCTGGGATGAGGAAGGGAAGATGGGGGGACCCAGAGGAGGATGGATGGTCTACTCCGTGACATGGGAAGCGAAGCTGGCAGAGCCAGGAGAGGAGCCAAGGAAAAGGCAGGGAGTGAGGAAGAAAAACCCGGATGTGTGGGGATGGGGTGGGGTGTGCTGGGGAGTTAGTGCTGTCACCTGGGCTCTGACTCATGTTGACTTCAGTGTAACAAAAGGACTCTGCTGGTATGCGAATCCACTGCTGGGGCTGCTGCTTGTCTCCCTGACGGCTGGTTTTCACTGACCTTGTTTTATCAAACCCAATGGCCTTTCCTGAGCGAGCTGAAGCATCACCACCTTCACTTCTAAGGAGAATTCTTGTTTTTCTTCTACAACCAATGTGTGCTTTTGGCAGCTCACGTATACGTATACTTACTGTACTTTGCCAACATCAGCTTGAATGAATCAATTCATCTTCCTTTTTCATATGCACCTAAGGTGTTTGAAAGGCCTGTAACTTGGGTCGGTCCCCTCAGCTCTCAAATTATCATCTTTGCTTTTTAAAACAACTTTACAAAAGAGGGAACTCTGGTGGCCTAGTGGCAAGAAACTGCGCTGCAATCCCGAAGGCACGTGGTTTGAATCCACCAGCCGCTCCACAGAAGGATGGGCAATCTCCTCCTCTGGGATTACTTGCCTCTGAAAACCTGCTGGAGATCACCTATGGGTCGGTTCTGACTCTATGGTACAAAATAGCAACAAAGAGTAAAAAACTCCTAAAAACTTTACAAAGGTCTTTGGCAGCAGGTCTGAGAGCTGCTTCCGTGGGTGCTCAAGACTCACACACAGTACAATCGGTGACTTCAGTTCCCCCCACATTTATCAGAGTTCACTGGCCCAGATGTGCAGGCTTTCCCTGGTGTGGGGAGGGGGTGTAGGAAACTTCCAGGATGGATGGATAGAATGAAATGCCAAGTGTAGCACCGGAGCATGTTTGATGACTTTTCCCTCCAGGGAAGTCTATCTGTGGCTCTCAGAATACTGTTTTTCCTTTGTTTAGTCCTTTAGTTCTTTTAGATCTTTAGTTCGTCAACCAGGATGCTTCTGGAACAGCGGGGACTCCTCTGCCACCACAGCTGCAGATGGGGTCCTTCAGGGTCTGTGGGTACCTCACCCTGATTCCTATCCTTGGCTCCTTCTGAACCCCTAGCCCCACCGGGATTTCCTCCGGAGGGAGGGAGCTGGCGGGGAAGGCAGGTGCTGTTTACAGAACACCTACCATGTGCTAGTGGGTGCCAGGCTCTGCTGAGACTGTCTGTGTCTTTCCTTAGAAAGGACTCCAGTAGGTGGGGCGGTCAGACCTTTGACTAGAGTACATCAGTGAAGCATCCTTCCCCCTCATGGTCTGAACCGAGTAAAAGCCCCATTTCCTTGCCCTCAGCTCCAGCCACAGCAGCCTCCCTTGGTCTCACCCAGCAGTCTCAGGGCTGGCACCTGTTCTAGAGGTCGGCGCAGGTCACTTTCTCATTCCCCACCTCCACTCATGTCACTCATCCGAGAGGCCCTGTTTCCCTTCCTTCCCTGACATCTTATTCCCATCTGGCTTCCTACAGAGTTTTTGCCCTGTTTCCCCAATCAGAACGTCAGTTCCCCCTTCGCCCTATCCCAGAGGATGGCACCATAAACAGCAGGTGGACAATAAACGTGTGATGAAAGGTTGAAGGGGCCCCCGCCTCATCAAGGAGGGGGGCGGAACAGGGGAGGCCCAGGTTCCTCCAGGTGAGGCTGCTCAGCCAGGCCCCAGCCCTCCAGCCAAACACCTATTTCCACCCCACCCCGAAACAGTGAGCTCTCAGGCACCCAGTGTCCGGGCAGCCGCAGAAAACCACACAAACATCTTTCCATCGTGCACCTGCGCTTCCATCAGTTTTCAGGATGTAAATTAGAATTTGGGGCAATAAACTGTTCTCCTAGCTTGTGTAATACTGACAACACAAAAACATTTTTAAACACTGTGGGACTAGGAAACGCGGCCAGGATTTTTCCTGTAGCTGCTGGTGACCCAACACCTCTGCCTTGGGGTGACAGCTCAAGGACCAGTCATTCGTGGCCTTGGGGAGCAGCTGACTGCACCCACAGGCATCACCAACTCCCCTCAAAGGGAACAGCCTGGGATCACCCAGGTCCACACCACCTGGTCGCCCTGTTACTAGCTGGCTTCCAGTTGTGGAGTCTGCTTCACACCCCTCAGCAGTTATTATGTCTATGACAACAACAATGGTTTGGGGGGTAGTGTATTTCAGCACGGAACAGCAGGGAGCACCCGTGGTCTGGTTAGAGACACAGCAGAGGTTGGAGCTGGGAGCATGACTGAGGACTGAGCTGTGGGTTCAAGTTCCAGCTCAGGATGGTAATGCTGCCACCTCACCAGGGGCTGTGCGAGGCCTGCAGCGGCTGTAAAAGCTCTATAATGGGTCTTGAGGTAACGCTGGGACATGCTGGCCATCAGTTTCCTGTAGCTGCCACCTTGTGCTGCGGCCCCACATGATAGGAACCTGGCTGAAGTGCTGTGGGCGCCTGCCTGACTTACCGGTGAGAAAGTGGCTCTGAGGATGTCCGACCCATCCTCCAGCAGAGTCCCAGCATGAGCAGTGGGGGGTGGTGATGGCGGTGGTGACTTGTCTACAGACAGCAACCAGGAGGGTAAGGAGGTCTGCGTCACCAGGAGTCACCTGGGAGGACTGTTCCCCTGGTGCAGAGATTCTGGCTATGCAGGCTGGGAGCGGGGCTGGGGTAACAGGAATTGTGGGGGTGGCAGGGTGTCTCTCATGGGAACCACGGGCGCTCATTTCCTATCGGCGCAGGGCTGGTGGAGGCGACCAGGCCTCAGGCCCCAGCCTCGGCACAGGTCTTCCCGCTGAAGCATGTCACACTGTGGCGAAGGGCAATTTTTATTACTCTGGGTTAACCCAGCAAAGAGAAAGCCGAAGACACATCCAAGTTGGTGAAAGCAATCTCACCATCGCTGGGTTCTCTGTTCCCTGGAAAGCTGAGCCTCCTCCACGGTCTGCTGTGGGCAGGCCCCGACCAAAGTCTAGGTGCCACTCAGTCCTGGGGGCAGGACTCCCCCTTGGGCAGCCTGGGGTTGGCGGTCACCCCTGCAGACATGAGTCTTAGGTGATGCTGGCCCCCACTGGCCTCTTCAGGAGGACGCCTTGGCAGAGGCAGCCCCCTTCTTCCCGGAGGTCTTCAGCACCGCCAGGCTCTTGGGCAGACTGGAGCTGGCTTTCATCACCACGTCCTGTTCAATCTTCTTTCGGATCCCAACCTCCAGATTCTGAGGGGACAACACAGGCAATCAGACTACAGGGAGAACCCGTCTGCCACCCACCCTCCTCAGAAGCTCAAGGGAGTGAGTCTAAAAACGGCTTGCTTCTTCCCCCACCTCTACTCTTTTCAGGTTTCTCATCAATGTGACCCCCACTTTACAGATGTGAAATTGAGGCTCTGCACTGAGAAAACACTTGCCCCTGGCTCTAAATTATGAGCAACAGACAAGCGGAACTGGTGCAACTGATCCCAGTGCTCCTGGCCTCAGCCTGCAGATGCAAAGAAGTCTCTAGTCTCATGTTGCTCCCGCGCCACAGATGGTGCAACGGCAAAAGTGAGAAGGTGCAGCGAAGCACCCTGACTTGTAGTCAAATCACTTAATCATCTCCGCCAAATTGCTGCCCCTCCCCACCTCCAGTAAGAGTTTGAACATCTATCCCTACAGCACCTAACTATGTCCTGGGAGTTCAGGACTCCACACCAACAAGAAACAAGTGAGGGAGAGAGTACTGCAAACTGCTATGGTGGCAAAGAAAACACAGGCTGGGGTGAGGTGTTAGGCGGCTGCTATCCAGAAGGCCCACAGAAGACCTCTTGGAGGCTCTGTGTGAAGTCAGATGTAAGCTAGGAGAGGGAGAAGGCAGAGTCTGGGAGAATCCAGGCAGCAGTACCCATCCTTCGTGTGTGGTGTAGCCAAGGAGCCACTGAAGGGCCAGTGTAGCTGGAGAGAAAGGAGAACGTGGAAAAGAACAGAGGGCGGGAGAGGGACCCACAGAACCTGGTGGGCCTCGGGATGGCTGGCGCTTTTATCTTAGTCATGTGGGAGTTGGGTGATTCTGAACAGAGGATCCGAGTCAGTGCTTACAGGCGCTCTGGGGCCACCTTGGGGAAAACAGGGAGACTGCTGCAAGGAGGGTGGGACAAGGGCAGAAGCAGGAAGACCAGAGCATCGCCTAGGTAAGACACAAAAAGGAAAGAAGAACGGAGAAGAAAATGCCCTTTAGATTTAATAGAAAGCCAAATTGGACCTGTGACCACAAGAGCATCTGGAAGAATGGCGAATTGAGGCTGTGGCAAGATTATGCTGGGGAAAAGATCAGATCTTTTAGATGCGCCTTTAAAAGCGTGAGATCCGCAGGCTGAGGTGCCCAGTCTGAGGTGTATGAGGCTCGGGGGACCAATAAATGAGAGACAGAGAGAGAGAGAGACACACAAAGAGACACAGAGAGAAAGAGAAGAGAGACAGAGAGAAAGAGAAGAGAGACAGATACAGAGACAGAGAGAGAGACAGAAAGACACAGAGAGAAAAAGAGAGACAGAGAGAGAGACAGAAAGACACAGAGAGAGAGAAAGAGAAGAGAGACAGAGAGACACAGAGGCAGGGGCGGTGACATCACTGCCGGCAGCAAGAGGATGACATCAAAGCCCACCAGCCGCCGATAGTGCTGGGACTCACACCCAACTGTCATCCCAAAAGCTGGGGATTTCAACACTCCCTCACCCCAGAGGCCTCTCCACTTCGATGAGGGCAAAAATGAAATCCAAATCCATGGCCACCACGGTTGTGACCCGCGGCGACCCCCCATCGATCGGGTTGCCGAGGCTGGAAAGCAACGGGAGCAGACTGCCTCATTTTCCCCCCGCGGAGCCGCTCGAGAAGTCCAACCACTGACAATCTGGCGAGGGGCCCCCCACCCCGTAACCCGCTGTGCCTCCGGGGGTTCCTATAGTTGCTAGGCAGGAGAAAAAGAACGGCCGAACGTGCTCTCAACAGTCACGGCCCACCAGGCCGGTGGAGCGGAAGGCGCGACCTCCCAGCCAGGGCCCGGGTGAGTCAGGACCCGCACGCACCTTCTTGAGCTTTTGCTGCTCCACCACGCGCGCCTTCTTGGGGGCGATGACTCGGCCTGTGGGGACACGCGCGCGAGTTAAGCCAGGGAATCCCGGGCCCCGCTCTTCCCTCCCCCCCGCCAATCCCCAGCGCTCGACATCAAAGCCCCTTTTCGTGCGCCAGCCCGCAGCTCACCGCCCTTCCTCGGGCCCCGGATCCGCTCTGAAGCCGCGGCCGCCGTCTTGCTCTTTCCCGGCTTCTTCGCCTGGAACTTGCGCTGTCCCTGCACCATGTCTGCACCGCTGCCGGGGTAGAGAGGAACGCCGCGACGCCGCCGGAAGACGCAGGGCACGACGGGATACGCGGCGACTATGGGCGCAGGGGCTCACGGGATACAGTGGAGTTAAAGGGACAGGCTCAACGATGCGTTCAACCGTAAAACCAGACTCAAGCACTGAGTCAACTCTGACTCCTAACTCATCCTATAGTTGTTATTAGGCGCCGGCTAATCGAGTGGATTTATAGCGATCCTATGAACCACAGCTCTGAACTTTGATCTATCCTATGCTATTCTTCCCCCCCCCCCCCATTATTTTTTGTGTGTACCGTCAAATCAGATCTGACTGGTACAGGAGGAGATTGTTCCTCCTTCTCGAGCAGAGCATCTGGTGGATTTGAACTGTGCACCTCTGAACTGGCAGTTGCAGCTTCTTGCCACAAGGCCACCAGAGCTCGCCTATCCTGTGCTATTATTATAATCATTCTCATAACCTCTTGAGCCCATAGAGGCAGTCTGTGTGTCAATCCTTCTCCTTAAAGGTCATCTTCTCTTTTGCCCACCATCCATCTTTCCAACATGATGTTCTTCTCCAAGGAATTGCTTCTCCTCGCAACACGACAAAAGTATATGAGACAAAGCTTTATCATCTTTGCCTTCAAGGAATATGCTGGCTGCACTTTTCTCTTTATCATGTTTTAAATTAATTTTAATGAAAGTTTACAGAGACTTTGGATTTCCATTTACTCATTGTTGCACTATTCTCCCTGCCCACCCCTCCCCCCAGTACACTCTTCTCTTTGAAAAGTAAAAGAAAAGTTCCCCCACTGTTTTACAATCCCTCCCCCAGGTTCACTCCACTATGCAGCCTTCGTTCTGGACCCGTCATGACAATAATACCTAATCACATATCCCTTTTAAACAGTTTTCTCCCTCATCTGTGTCAATACAATATACATTCTTTATCCCATCTTTCTCAGTCTCCCCCCCAACCTCAAGGTCAGTCCTGTTTTACAACAGTGGCACTATGCAGTATTTGTCCCAGTGTGACTGAGATATTTCACTCAGCATAATGTCTTCCAGGGTCACCCATTTTGAATAATATTGCATGAGTTCTTGCTTTTCAATGCAGTGTAGTATTCCATTGTGTGAATATACCACAGCTTCTCCATCCCTTTGTTTGTTGGCTGCGCTTTTCTAAGATACAGTTATTCTTTTGGTAGTCCATGGCATGCATATTCAGTACACTTCTCTAACCCCACAGTTCAAAGACGCCAATTCTTCTTTTGCCATCATTATTAATTTTCATTGTCCAGCTCTCACATGTATAGCAAGTGATTGAAAAGACCATGGCCTGGAACAGGTGCACCTTAGTCCTTAAACTGACATCATTGCTCCTTAGTAATTTGGCAAGGTCACTGACTGCCGACTCTCCTAGTGCAATATGTTTCCTGATCTCCTGACTGCTGGTGCCAAGTATTGATTGTGGATGCAAGATGAAGCTGTTGACAGTTTTAGTCTTTTCAAAGTTTCAAGGTGGAGCAGAATTGCTCCTTTGGCAGTCTCAAGATTGTAATCTCCACAGAAGCAGACTGCTACAACTTTCTCCTTTTGAGCAGCTAGTGGGTTCAAACTGCTGACTCCTGCACTGTCACTCTCCTTGAGGTCAACGAGTTTTGCCATTTTGGGCAAGTATAGCTTTCCAATGGAAGTTAACACTGAGGTGCTCTGGCTAGGTGTAGGTGCTCCAGACAGGGCAAGGTTCAGAGCTATGGTTCATAGAGTTGCTATGAGTTGAATGGACCTAAAGGCACACAGCAAGAAGTATTTACTGGGTGCTGTGCCATGAACTGTTTTATGTTCTTTTTATGGATCAACTCAATTCACAGTAGGGCTAGGGGGAAATAAGGCACACATTTCTCATGCAAAATAAATCTCAAACTCATTAAACTCATTGCCTCAGAATCAACCCATAGCTAACCTCCAATGTGTTTTAAGAGGCTGTAAATCACTTGGGAGGAGATGGCTCATCTTCCTCTGGAGAAGCAGCTGGATTCAACCAGCCTTTTTTTTTAAAAAAAAATATTTGTTGTTGTCGATGGCCTTCGAGTCCAGCACGACTCATAACGACCCTATAAACAAAAGGCTTGAAGTCCCTCTACAACTATCAACATTTATCAAAGTTCATAGAGTTTCTGGAGGCACATTATTTAGGGAGTGGATGCCACTCCTGCTTCCAATATATATATCTCGTGATTTTTAACAAGTTTATAGAAAAGTTAGGTTTTCATTAATTCATTATTGCACATTTTCCTCCTTCTCCCCTCCCCTAGTTCACTTTTTTAAAAAAAAAATATTATTACACAATATCTTCCCTCCCTCTCCCCTCTTTGCAACACACCTCTTTTTCTGGGTTGTCTTAAATACAATGCCCAATCATATATTCTTTTTAAGCCAGTCTCTTCCTCATCTGTTCTGATAGTGTTCATTATCTATCCATTCTTTTCCTGTTCTCCTATCAACCACCCATGTTAGTCCTGCTTCATAAGTGGTATTATGCAGTGTTTGTCCTTTTGAGATGAAAGTATTTCACTCAGCATGTCTTACAGGATCACTCATGTTGTGTGATGTTTCACAAGCTTGTTATTTTTCAGTGCTGCATAGTATTCCACTATGTGAATCTACCGTAGTTTATCCATTTGTTTGTTGATGGGCAGTTGTGTTGTTTCCCTCTCTTTGCTATTGTGAATAACGCAGCTATAAACATGGGTGTGTGTACATTATTTGGATGGCAGTTCCGGTTTCTTTAGGATATATTCCTAGCAATGCAATTGCTGGGTCAAATGGTTTCTATTTCCAACTTTTTGAGAAAGTGCCAAACCACCTTCCATAGTGATTGAACCATTTTACATTCCCATCAGCTGTGATTAAGAGTTCCAGTGTCCTGTGGCAACTGGACAATTAAAACAGACTTTCAAGGGGGAGAAAAAAAAGAACGAACTGGGGAGGAGGGTAGAGAAAATAGTGCAACAATGAATGAATGAAAACTCAAAATCTCTGTAAATGTTCATCAAAATTAATAAAATTTAGTAATAATAAGAAAGAAAAAGAGTTCCAGTGTCTCCACAACCACCTTAGCATTTGTTGTTTGCTGCTCTGTTGAACTTTGCTATTGCTGCTGGGGTTGACCAGCCTTTAAAAGGGTTCAATTACTGCAACTCCTGACCCACTAAAGTTCCTCTAAAAATTAAGTAGGTGCCCTCCCCCCCCAAAAAAAATTAAGTAGGTACCAAAACCCTCAGTAGTTAAATAATTTACAAACATTTTATATTGGCAAACTACAGCCCACAGTGACTGTTTACATATTTAATGTTTTACTGGAACCAGTGCTGGTATTAGGGGTGACGTGAATAAGATCAAGTCATCAAACGCAGGGTGCAATCTTTTGTTAAAATCGCAATATATTCTTGGGTTCCCCTCCCTTTAATTTTGACTGTTAAAAAGACTGCATTCAAATTATATTTATCTTGGTTATTGAGCTTATGGAAATCTGTTTTACTTTTGCATATGAAGTGGCAAAAAAAGAGCAGCACTAGTGTTATCCATCCCCATTTAATAAATGAGGTGATCAAGCACAGAGATGAAAAATGAGCTTCTCAGGATCACACAGAGAAAACGGCGAGCTGGGATTTGAAACTGGTAGATTTAAGCTGCTAACTTTGAAAGGTCCACAGTTCAACTCCACCAGCCACTTAGTAAGAGAAGGGTGGGCCGTCTCCTGTAAAGATGCACAACCCCAGACCCGACGGAGGGTTGCTGTGGGTCTGACCACACTCAGCAGTGGGGAAGCTGGCTCTAGATGACATAGCAGGTCCTGGTCAGTCCTTGCTTTAGGAAGAAGTGTGGCTGTGGGAAGAAGGTCAGTTTTTGAGCAGGCCATCCCATACATTTGTTATAAACCAAGGGCGTTTGCGAATGAGAAGGGGAGCCACAGTGGGTCTTTCCAGGTCCCTTGTCAGGAGACAGAGGAGCTTAGGGCTGCTCGGAGCTCTTCAGGGGCAAAGACGCCCAGTTCTGTGATGATGCCTCCAGTGATGAGGTGGTGCGGGGTGACATCGAAGGCAGGATTCCAAACCCCAATCCCTGCAGGCAGAGAAGGAAAAGTGAGGGGGCAGGCTGTCTGCTGTCCTTGGCCCGTTGTTCTATGTCATAGTCATGTAGCTCTGTAAAAGTTCTCAAGCTGCTGGCCCCTGTAGGGGAACCTCTGAAAATCTAGGAGCTTCATTTTAAAAATACATGATGAGGCGAGCTCTGGTGGCCTAGTGGCAAGGAGCTGCACTGCAATCCCAGAGGTGTGTGGTTCAAATCCACCAGATGCTCTGCAGAAAAAGGAGGGACAATCTCCTCCTGTTCTAGTCAGATCCGATTTGATGGTACACACACATATAAAAAAAACGCGTGATGGAAACAAACAAAAAAACACTAAAAACCCCCAAACAAACCCCTAGGAAAAAACAATGCATGATGGCATAGGTTTTTGTACCCACTCACACACAAATCAAGACTTCTTGCTTTTCCTGGATTATGACTGACCAGGAGGAAGACGTGGAAATCTTATACATCTACCTTGCTTCTTACTTCTTCCCCAGGAGAAAAAACCCAAGAGGTCAGGATAGGGTAGGAACACCTTTTCTACTTATGGTCTCATAACTCATTACTCATAAATCCTACCCTGGAATCTTGGCTTCCGAGATGCTCCTGGCAGAGTAACTGCTGGAAGGAGTTGCCTATACTCCAGAAGGGTGACTGTACCTCCAAAGCCCCCAGCCCTGTACCGACCCTCTGAACGGAAGCTTACCGGGTGCTGCGATCCTGACCCCATTGATGTCGGTCAGCTCCTGGCCTGGCCGCTCCTCGATGACAATCTCCTGGCCCGTCTCCAGGTGGAGGTCACACGAGGAACTGGGGGCAGCCACGTAGAAGGGGATGCCATGGTGTTTGGCAGCGATGGCCAGCTGGTAGGTGCCCACCTTGTTGGCTGTGTCACCATTGGCAACCACACGATCCGCTCCCACGACGACGGCTGAGGGGTGAGGAGATTATCAGGGGTCACGTCCTGGTGCGGGATGCCCTGGGCCCGGGCCTCCCAGGTGCCGCCTGCTGACCTGACACGCCCCTGTGCACCATGGCCGCAGCCGCCATGCTGTCTGTGATGAGGGTGGCAGGGATCTGCTCGTACACCAGCTCGAAGGCTGTCAGCCTGGCTCCCTGGTTGTAGGGCCGGGTCTCCGTGCAGAAGGCGTGCTCCAGGCGGCCCAGGCGGTGCAGCGAACGGATCACCCCTGCATCCCGACCCGGGAGAGGCTGAGATTAGCAGACAGGCACGAATGGCACTAGCGCGGGGCAGAGGCACAGAGGCCTCAGAGTTCCGGCTTGGCCTTGACACTTGCTGTTCTGTTTGCTCAGAACACTTCCCAGCACCCACAAGGCTCCCTCCACATCTTCATGTTTCCTGGAATGATGACCTTCCTGGTCCCTTGATTACAATGAGCGACCCCAAACACCTCCCATCCCCTCCTCCTTCGCATGTATTACCTGCACTTGTCACTCATCCTACACATTTATTCACCCTGCTTCTTTTGTCTCCTCTTTCCCTGGGAGCTCCAGGAGGACAGAGATTTTGCCTCCTTTGTTCCCGGTGGTGCCTCCAGAGCCTGGAGCAGTGCCTGGCACTGGCACACAGCAAGTGCTTAACAAATATTAATGAAAAGCAAGAATGTTGCCCCCAAAGCCTCAGTCTCCAGAGAAGGGGGACTGGAATGGTAGTGAAATCTGGGGAATTCTTGGTCAAGCAGAATCTGCTGCCTGTACCCCCAGTAATACGCCCTCCCCTCCTGGTCATGTTGTTGTGTGCCAGCGAGTCAGAACCGACCCATGGCTGACATTCCAGCTGGTTTTCCGAAGCAGTTAATCGCACAGGAGGAAACCGCCCAGCCTTTTCCTGGCCAAAGCAACCTTCAACCTTTCTCTGGGGAAACCACTCTTGTTACAGATTTAATGCATTCCCCCAAAATATGCACTGTAAACCCTAACTCCTATGTTCCTGTGGTTGTGTGGCATCAAAACTCATACCTGACCCTCCAGCCAGTTTTCAGAGGCTGTGATTGGCAGGGGAGAAAACGGCCCAGCTGGTGGATTCGAACTGCTTGCCTTTGGGGTTGACAGCTCAACTCCTTACCTCAAGGCCACCATACTTTTAGTTAAGGAGCTCTGGTGGCGTAGTGGGTTAAGCGCTGGACAGTTTCAACCCACCAGCTGCTCCTTGGGGGGGCCTCACTCACCCAGGGCTGTGCCGTAGCCAGCGGTGGCCAGAGCACCGGTGTTACAGTGGGTCAGCACGGTCACCTTGCCCCCTCCAGGCGCTGCTCGCTCCAGAAGATGGTGGGCTCCCAGGTCTCCAATGCTCTGATTGTCCTTGAGGTCCTTCTCCAGCATGTCCTCAGCATAGCGGATCACCCTGGCAAGAAGGCACTCTTAGCAGGCTCCTTGCTGTCCTCAAGTGTCTTTCCACTTGTAGGCCTGGATCTTTGGCCACAGACACTAAATTATCACTCTATTAACTCTTCTAAGCCTCCCAGGACTTCCTGGGAGGAAGTGAGCAGGGGTAGGACACAGCGGTAAACAAACAAGAGGGGTGGAGAAAGTGGATGAGCAGACAAAGCAGGAGAAGCAGTCAGGGGCCTGGAGGGGCTGAACTGCTTCAAGAGAATCTGGGAGGCCTTTCCAAGCAGAAAAAATATTGTCAGATGCCCTAGGAACCTTGCCTTATCTAATTCTCTATCTTTCCCAGCATGAAGCCTTTATATAAGTTTATAGATAAGGGGAATAAAGATAGAGAGGGAGAAATACCTGGCCCACAGGTGCAAAGGCCCTGAAGAAGGGGCAGCCAGACACGGTCAAAAAGCCGGAGAGGCAAAGTTCCGCTTTAGGCCGGAAAAGAGTGGGAGGGAGGAGTCCAGGCCTGGAAACAAACTGCCCCAAAGCAAAACCCAGGAGAGCAGAGGAAACCAGACAAGTCCCTTTATAAGTCACAGGGGGTGAGTGTCGGGATCTTTCAGCCAGACACCCAGCGGGGGATCGAAGCTCAGCCCTGACTGTGTGACTCAGGACAAGAAACTTGTCTGCAGTGCGCGAAGGCCTCAGTTTCTCCACCTGTTTCCGCACCTCGATGCGTAAAAGTCAGTACTCCCGCTTAGCGCACTGCCTGGCACATGGGTCCCTACCTCTCCCGGACTGCGGGCCCCGTGGCGTCCTCTCGTTCAGCCTCCCGCGCAGCAGCGTCGGCCAGGTCGCGGGCGGCTCGGGCCATGTTGACAGCGGTGGGTCGGGCGGTAACGAGGAAGTTCAGCGATTCGCGCACAAAGGTCGCGAGCTCGGTGGGCCCGGGGCCCCCGGCGCCCGCCTGCAGTTCCACGGCGAGGCTGAGGCAGCCGACGAGGGCGATGGCCGGGGCGCCGCGAACCTGGCGGGGCCGGGATCGGGGGTGGAGGGGACGTCAGAGAGGTGAGGGACGCGCGTCCCCCTCCCCAAGCCCCGCAGCGAGGTCCCACCTTCATGGCGTGGATGGCCTCCCAGGCCTGGCGCACTGAGCTCACCGCCTCGTAGCGGCTCTGCTGGGGCAGCGAGAGCTGGTCGAGGATCTGCAGGGAGCCCCGCGAGTAGCGGATCGCCTCCAGGGTCATGATGCAGGCGCCCCGCAACCGGGCTAACGGATGGCCACGCGCGCACGTGGGGAAGGGCAGGGGTGCGGAGGGGGCGGGGCCGGAGGCGGGCTCTCCGGAAAGGCCCGGCCTCCCCCTCCATCCACGTGACCGGGCCTGTCCCGTTTACTCGCCAGCAGTTGGTGAGTATCTTAGCTTTGGGACCCCGACTCACAGCCGAATCTGGAGAGGTTTCCAGAGGCGCTAAATCACATTTAAGCGGAATGCCCATTCTTTTTTTTTTTTTTT